AGGGAAAGGGAGGAGCCGAGGAGGACAGAGAGAAGCTGGACTTGAGGGGAGACAAAGACAACAAATAAGATGGCACAGGAAGCACCCATCTCAGTTAACAGTGGTTATCTGTGGGGAGTTAGGGGTATATCATTTTGCTATTTTTCATCCTTCTTTCTTTTCATATGTATCAAATCTTTTTTTCCATGTGGAGTATGTATTTCTTTGGTAATAAGAGGGGAAAGCTATTTTTATTTATTTGGAAAGCAGGTGTCAGGACAAGAGTTACCATTTCATTCCACTGGGAGACTCTCATTCTTGTGAGCCATCGGGTCAACCTGAGGTTATATGAGATTAGGGGTTGGTTTGTTTTATTAGGCAACAGTGCACAGGGATTAAGTGCTTATGTTCTGGGGCAGACTGAGCTGGAATTCAATCTTGGTCTGCTGCTGTGTGGCTTTGGTAAAATGTTTAATCTATTTGAACACAGTTCTCCTCATCTCTAAAATGGAAGTAATTACAGTAGTAGTTATCTTTTATGGTTCTTGGGGAAATTAAGAAAATACAGTTAATGATGTCATGGCACACGGTAAACATGAATAAACAGCCACAGTTTTTACTAATGCTGTATCCTTTGTGTGCTGAGGTTAGCGCCGCCAGGCACTGCTCCAGTCCCTAGACTCTCCCTGGAAAACAGTGCGGATGTCCGCGCCGAGAGAGTCTTTGGTTCTAAGTAATCAGTTTCTTGATGTTTTTCAGGATGAAGATGATCTGGCCAACGCCCTGATCTGGCCTGAGATTCAACAAGAGCTGAAAATTATTGAATCTGAGGAGGAACTCTCCTCCTTGCCACCACCTGCTCTAAAGACCGGCGCGACTCAGCCTATTCTTGAGTCTAGTCCAGGGCCTTTTGCTTCCCCGGAGCCTCCTGGGAGCCTGCCTTGTGGCTCCGCCCCAGCTCCAGTTTCCATCCCTCTGGAGGAGTGGACTAAGGATCCAACCAATCAGAGCACACAGGGCACTTCCACAGCAGCCAATAGAGAAAAGTCGGAGACAACCAGCATCCTCCATAGATCCGAGCCTGAAAAGGGCCAGGGCCCAGACCCCGCCAGCCTGACTCCTCTGGAAATGGTTCCATTTGAGAAGTCTCCTCCACAAGCGGCAGCGGAGGTGGTGGGCCCAGGGAATCTGTCTCCTCTGCTCCTGCCTGCTCCTCCTCCTCCTCCAACTCCTTTGGAGGAGGCACCTCCAGTCCAGCTGTTGAAGGGTGGCCCTGAGAGAGAAGACTCATCTGGGAATTTGAGAACAAACCCGTATATAGATCAGCTGAAGTCCAAAGGCAGCCCTGGGATCCCCAGTCTTTGTCAGGGAGAGGAGGCCTCTTCAGAACAAAGTGAAAAGCAATATTCAAAGAATGCTGCTTCTGAGGGCAAAGGTTCTAGCTTTCCAAGCCCAACCAGGGAGGTTGAGATTTCCCCACAAGGAGAGGAGGATGTAGCCCACTTAGTACAGGAGCCCTCAGACTGTGATGAAGATGACACTGTGACAGACATTGCCCAGCATGGCCTGGAGATGGTGGAGCCCTGGGAGGAGCCCCAGTGGGTGACAAGTCCCCTGCACTCACCCACCCTTAAAGATGTACAAGAGGCCCAGATGCAGGGCCACCAGGGCCACCGATTGGAGAAGAGGCTTTCCCACAGGCCCAGCCTTCGCCAGAGCCATTCTCTAGATGGCAAAACCATGGTTAAGAGCCAGTGGACTCTTGAGGGTTCCTCCTCCAGCAGCTGTGCTAATCTTGAAGCAGAGAGGAATTCCAACCCTCTGCAGCCCTTGGCACCCGGGAGCGAGATTACTGGATGGGATGAAAAAGCCATGAGGTCCTTTCAAGAGTTCTCTGGCCTGAAAAGGACAGAGGTTCCTCACAACCAGAAGGGACCAGGTGGTTTGCAGCCCAAATCAGCAGAATCCAGCCCTGTCAGTCTAGCAGAGGGAAAGGAACTGGGGACACACCTGGGGCCACACAACCCTCAAATTGAGCAAGGTAGTGATCCTGGGCCAGAAAACAGCAAGGAGAAGTCACTGGGTGTGCAAGACAGCACCTCACCTGGAGAGCATCCCCCCAAGTTACAGCTGAAGAGCACTGAATGTGGGCCCCTAAAGGGGAAGAACAGGCCTTCTTCTCTCAACTTGGACTCTGCCATTCCCATCACTGACCTCTTCCGGTTTGAGAATGTGGCCTCATTTGGTTCACCTGGAATGCAGCTCTCTGAGCCAGGAGACCCAAAGATCACATGGATGACCTCATCTCACTGTAAAGTAGACCCCTGGAGGGTTTACTCCCAGGACTCTCAGGACCTGGACATTGTTGCTCATGCCCTGACGGGCCGCCGTAACTCAGCTCCTGTGAGTGTGTCAGCTGTGAGAACCTCATTCATGGTCAAAATGTGCCAGGCCAGGGCAGTCCCAGTCATCCCACCCAAGATTCAGTACACCCAGATCCCACAGCCCCTGCCCTCTCAGAGCTCAGAGGAGAGTGGGGCTCAGCCCCTGGAGAGGAACCAAGAGGAACCCGGCTCAACTGGTGGGACCTCTCAGAAACTTGCCCAAGATGATTCTCTCTCCTCCTTGGAAAGCCCAAAGGAAGAGAAACCAAAGCAAGATACAGGAGCCATTGAGTCCTTGCCAATGGATGCCACTGCATCTCGCATGTGCGAGGGATCCACCCTTTCTCCAGAACCAGGGTTAGTTAACCTGCTCTCCACTCAGGATGCAGTAGTGCAATGTAGAAAGCGCACATCAGAGACAGAGCCATCTGGGGACAACCTTCTTTCTTCAAAAATAGAGCGACCATCAGGGGGTTCTAAGCCTTTCCACAGGTCAAGACCAGGAAGACCTCAGAGCCTAATCTTATTCAGTCCTCCTTTCCCCATCATGGACCACCCGCCCCCCTCATCTACAGTGACAGATTCCAAGGTCCTGCTGTCCCCTATCAGAAGTCCCACCCAGACAATTTCCCCTGGCCTTCTTTGTGGGGAGTTGGCAGAAAACACATGGGTCACACCAGAAGGGGTTACACTTAGGAATAAAATGACCATCCCTAAGAATGGCCAGAGACTGGAGACCTCAACAAGCTGTTTTTACCAGCCCCAGCGGAGATCAGTGATTCTGGATGGCAGAAGTGGGAGGCAAATAGAATGACATCAGTTCACCTGCTGGTGTCTGAGAAAATGTCATGATTCATCTGGAAGTTATTACAGAGGCAACTTGCCTTTATTCCAGGCAGAGGTTATCCAAGTTTGGGCTTATTTTGGCCTCTTCTCTTTCTTCAGCCTTTTGACCATTTATTAATTAGGCCACTTGCCAGAAGAGAGGTCAAGGGAAGGACCGAGATGACATTTAAATAAGCCTATTTGAGCAGGCAGGGAAAAGTCAGGTTAGGGAAAAGGATGAAATGCTGGCCTCCAGTGATATTTGGGGCTTATAAGTTGCATCACTCCCCCATTGCCATTATCTAGTACTGTTGAGAGCTGGATGTGATAATGTCTTTTGAAAGAAAGAGAAATCCTTTGCCTGTGTTGGAAAATGTTGCTGTTGAGGTTTGAAGGCCTATTTACTTCATGCTTTTTAATGCTCTTTAAAGCATGTGTTCTTTTAGACCAGTTTTCTGATAAGTTTTGTAAAAGTGTACTATCCAGAGTAGAAGCGGGTTTGGAAATGCAAACTAACGTACACTTAGACATCCAAGTGGGTGAATATAGCCATGCTTTCCCTGGAATCCCTGCAGATCTATCCCAGATGGCTCCATATACCAGCATAGAAAATCAGAATCTATACTCAAGAGCAAACTCTGAGACTGGCACAATCCAAGAAGACTTTCTGGCTCTGGCTTTTATTAATTTGGGACTCCAGCTGCCATGATCCTGCCCTGTGATTTATAAATCCAGTAGTCGGGCAGGGTGGGGGCTGAGCTGAGGGTTACCTCAATGAAATTTGCTAAATCTTAATTTAGTATGAGATAGTGATCTGCTCTCCTTCCAATATCAGAGCTCACGAACAGATTGTCATCAAAGAGGAAAGCCTCACACATAGGCAGAACTACCCTCCAAACGTTAAGTGTTTAATAAATCGGTGGGACTTTCACAGAAAACACCTCTAGCTCAGTTTCACTCTCCTTCCACACTAGGCTGGGACCAGAGTACCAGAGAGGATAAGCGGGGAGCCCTAGGAGTAGTGGGAAGAACCCTTGCAGGGTGGCCATCACTCCCGCTTGGTGAGAGCTGCCCTTCTTGAAAATGCATTTCATTTTAGCCAGTGGGTACCTTCCTTCCTCCCTCCCCCTCCATTGGTCAAGAGCAGATTTGAGACACCCCTCCCCCTTCCATAATCCCCCTCATCCAGCACCCACCCCAGGCACTCAAATTTGCTCTTCTGTCTATATGCAAGCAGAAGCAATAAACCAATCTGATTTTATTTCAGTTATTTGGAACTTCAAATGGTTCTTCCCTTTTCAGCTGGAGAGAGGAAGGAGAATTAACAACCTGCTGGCAGATTTTTGGTGCTCTTCCAAAAAGGGCTTCACAGGAGCCCTTCTCAATGCAAAACCCATCACGGTATCAACACTTTCAAACCTTCTAAGACAACTATCTTGTTTGAGAAACAAAGAAAGATAGGACCTATTTTTAGCTCTATGCACCTCTTCTCAGGTTCAAGGCTGGCTGAACTCTGTCCAGAAGCTCAATCGCTGCAGACATTTCTCTAAGAGCTAGCAGTACCTCTGGGCAGACCTCACAACCAGGGCTGGCAATGGGCTGGGTAGGGGCTGAACTGAAGTTACCTCCTCCAGTGAGAAATTGGAAGCTGATGTCCTGCAACAGATACATATTCCTCTCTCCCTTCTTCCCTGAGAAGCCTTACAGAGAGCTTTGAAATCTTGTCCTATACCTTTTAAGCCAGTGTCTGTGACAGAGATAAATGGCAAGCCAGCTGATGAGTTCTGCTCTCAGAGGGCACTGAGTGAGCAAGGGGAGCAGTTAATAGGCCTTTGGTCAGTGGTTTTTGCATTGGGTGAGCAGACATTGGACCAACAGCCAAGGAGATATAAACCCATAAGAAAAGTCCTAAGGTATAGCATTTTTCCCCTAGGCGAGAAAGGTGAAGGAATATAGTGGTGCCAGATGAGGAAAGCCGTGTTTAGGAGATTTGAAAAGTACATTTCTGCCTTATCAGAAAATGTGGCAGACAGGCTTTATGTCAATATCAGTACACTGTGGTGTCTACATTTTGATAAAGACCATGTTCCGGTTAGGATGTGAGAGAGGGAGGGAACTGCACTTTGCTTCACCATCAGAACTCTGAGCCAAGTAGTGAAATATTTAAACTATTTTATGATTATTTAAATTTTTTGTAACACTTAGAGGATATATTTTTATTTGAGGATAGACTGAGAAGCCACCATTTACATAATAACAAGTGAGTTCAACTTCAGGCACCTATGTAGATTTATTAAATGACTGCCATGTTCCTTAGACTCTGACATCTTTCATTTGTAGCATCATCTTCAGAAGTGTGTGTGGATGTCATCCACATGTCATCACACACACACAGTGTGTGTGACAACTGGAGATATTCCCTGCTCTGAGCTTTCCCAGCCAATCAATCCAGAAGGCCTTGGAAGCTGACTCACCTTCTTGGTCAGTGTCCTGCTGCTAAAGTATGGACCTCTCCATAATCATAAACTTCCTGTGAGCTGGGGCTAGCCTGGCACTGATGAAATTCCATTCCATGACAAGGAAAACTCTACATTTTCCCCTTGAAATTGTTCCCCCCAAATCTCCTGAGATTACCTATTTGGTCATCCACTTGGGACTGAAAAATGAACCCCCTGAGAATGGCTGGATGGAAATCAGACTGCCTGCTTCCATCTAGGGGAAGGAGAGAAGAGGTGCTATTTATAGGAGGATCTACATGGTGCCCTAGAAAGGGCTACAGAAACAAATTCTCAAAAGGCACTTCAAATAAACTATGAGTCATCAAAATGGGGGTGGCTGATTTTAAATCCTGAATTTAAAGTGAAATGCATGCATATTCTAATGTTTCCTTCAGTGTTAATGGTTGCCTAATAATAACCTATATTTATTGGCAAAATGGCCCTCCCAGGCCAACCTTTTTTTTCTTTTTTGCCAAAATGTAGCAGGTAGAGGGAATTTAGTTTTTATTCTCTGCTTCAAATGGAATATGAAGGGTCCTGATCAAAAATCCCATTAAGACACTGTTAGCCTAATCTAAGCCCTAAAATTCAAAATATTGGCCAAGGCAAAATTCTGAATTCTGGGGAGATTAAAAATGTAAACATCATCATCCTCAACAGACGATATTTATCAAGAACTTAGTAATATTGCACTGGGTACCTCAGAACTCTGAAATTCTTGAAGAGTCTAATGAAAAAGGGGAGAGGGATGGTAGCAAATGAAACAGCCTATAAGCAATCAGGAGCAAGATCTAGAACCATTAAGTTACCAAATGAAAGCAGCAGGGGAAAACAGGTAGCAACTTAGCATCTTTTAATATGATTGCTAATAGTGTTCAAGTTACCTACTGACTTTAATCAAATTAAACACAATTACAAATCCAGTAGAAGGTACCAGGAAGACATTCAGGTGTTGAGAATTTTGCTTTGATCACTTAAAAACTTAGAGTGGTAACTAAGAATAAATAGTTCTGAGGTTTTGCATGGTCTTAATCAGTTTGGCTGTGAAGTCTTGTTGGATCTTGGCAAATGAGCCAGGTAACATCAGGGTTCCATACTCCTTGAGAGGGGATTTTAGACACTTCCATTATCACAACATGGGTTAACTCCTGTTGATGATGAAGTCATAGGTCCAAGATAAATTGTTACTTTCATGTCTAATGTTTAGCACATGATAATCACAGTTGCCTAAAGTTGGGTGGGTCAGCTGATTGTCTACACAGGCTTTGTGTTCTGCCTGAAGAGCTCTGGGAAACCTAAGATTCATTTGTCTGGTATTGGAATGGGAGAGGTTCAGGGTAGGTCCAATTCCCACCAGGACTGATTAGGACTACATTCTACCATGGCCTGTCCTATCTGATGACAACATGAATCTTGGGGTTAAATGTTGCCAGGAGTATGATTTCAGGCATTTCCAGCAGGAAGGTCAGTTCAAAATGTGGAATGACAAAGCATGTGTCCTCCTCTGTCAACACCTTTCCTAGCAAAGTTAGACCAGAAGAGGGAGCAAGCACCTTTCCAAGCATGGAGAGGAATGGGAGATGGTAGAAGGGTGATTGCCTAAGATCAGGGTAAGTCCAGATAGTATAAAATTGGGGCCACCACTGATCAACTGGCACACATTTAGTAGCGTTGAAGTTCATGAGCAATGCAGGGATCACTTCTATGAGGATGAAGGAGGATGTAGTTACATATAAGAAACCTATGAAATTCAGAGCCATGTGTTTTACTGGATGAATCACAATGCTTTGCATTAACTTAATGCCATAGTACTTCCTGGCTTATAATTCTGTAAGGTAAAGCACTTTCTCAAAGGAGTCTATTAGAAAGCCACATGATTTCAGCTGTTTGTTGAGCTTGACAAATGTTTCCAAAGATATAATCAAAATGTTTTTCTATTGATTAAAAAAGCATAAATATTAAACCTATCCTTAGAGACATTTAAGTGTAATTAAAACAGATTGTTATGCTTTAAAAATGTACTCTAATAAATGATATAAAACATAATGCTCATGACGGCACTATGAACTAGAGGACATGGGATCAGCAAAATCAATAATAGGAAAAGTGGACTTTATGCATTCAGGCTCATTGTTCTACTTTGTTCTGTCTGATGTCATTTTTTATTACTTCAAGGTTTGGTCTCCTCACAGCACAAGTCCTGATTGTTTGCTTCAGTAAAATTTTCTTGCTTTGTTATTTTACATCTTAATAATTGTCAAATATTTGCAACTTCACTCTCTTACTGTTGCAATCATACATGTCACCCAATATACCCAGTATAAATCAATGGATGTTGTCATGAAAAATGAGAAGGAAAAAAAGCTGTTACTTCTCAAAACTCCACAGCTTAAGGAGTTATGTGGGTCTATCTGCAAAGATGTGAACTCAATTTTTCTATTTCTTGAATTAGTCAGGGAGGACTATTTTTTTCAGTGATTTTTGTTAATGG